CCTGAGACTAGATACCGGTCTGCAGCCCCCTGTTTATTGGCTGTGATTACCTCTGCTAGTCTCACTTAGGTTCATGTTTTGTAGTTTTGCTGGACAACTCATAGAATCAGTGTACAAGCTTAGTCTTATTAGGGAGTTTCTGTCTTCTTGGCTGCAGGATCTGTGCAGCGTTTGCAGCTGTTATCAAACAGATTACAAAAATACCACGAAAACAGAAGACAATAATGGAAAGTTAAAGGGAAGACCTCAGAAACCTCCCAAATTGACAATATTGCAATTGCTGCGCTGCAGCATTACTTAAACACCCACTTGTTAAGCGTGTTTTACCGGTGAAATTCTCTCCAACTCAGACGAAAATATGTATATATTACCACCACTCCTAGAATTAAAGTTTGAACTACATACTTTCAACAAAGTACAGGTCTGTCGCTGTGAAGTTAAAACAATTGATAACACTCAAAGTCTACTGCCAAAACTCTCCTACTTGATGGTTAGGAGGCGTAACTTAAATAAAATCCATGTTCAAGCCACACAACTAAAATACTTCCCAGCTTCAAGAATTCCTGCACTTCGCAGACTACTATATCTCTGTGATCAAGACATTAATGGCAGGCCTCTGGAATCCCTCAGCAAGGCTCTTCATCCATTCTCAGATGCCAACCTGTTCTTGCTGGATTTGTACTGCCCCCCATCATGCAGTAATTCTTAACTGAATATTTGTGAAATATCCCAGATTTTTGTCTGTGAGAAAAGGCAGAAAAGATGCACCTGAAAAACATCAGAAGGGCATATGGAGGAGGCAGGGAAATAGAACTGGGGATTTCTAAAATACTTCAGCAATTCTGAGATCAAGATACCCTCCAGTGTAAGGAGTTACCCCTCACTTGTTCTGAATCCCTTGTGCTCCCACTGGCCGTTCTCAGCCCCACGTATGTAGGCATTTGCTGAAAGCTTGTCAGAGGCGGTAAGAGTAACTCCTTCCTGTCCCATACCCTTTGTTTGCTATCCAAAAACCAAGAGAATATAAAAGGAGGGGGAAAGAATGTGTGAGTCACAAGCGGATTTTTAATTTGTAAATGGCATTTGTAAGGCTGATGTTGAAATACTTCATCCAATTCTGACATCTAAATTTTAAAGAGGCTATTATGGGTGCCGGGGGATCAGGAAAGGTGCAAAGACAAAGGACTCAGAAGATAGAAAGATATACAGCAGGAGATTGAAACATTTTAGTTCACTTAAGATATCAAGGTGATTTGATTGTAACAACTTAAGTTATAAGAACTTCCCACAGGAGAGAGATACTAGATACTAAGTCTGGTTTGTGGATGTGATGTAAAAGCCAAAGCAGTTCAAATTAGAAAGGTAATTTTTCAGCAGATGGGAGCACAAGTCATTAGAATAAGCAGTCATTGTAAGAAAGCTCTTGAGCCCACAGATCAAGGCTGGGCATCTTCTAAAAGATTTACCTCCATCAAGTTACTGGGCTTTGTACATGGATAGCGTAAAAAGTTTGTATTGAGAGAAGACCAGACTTAATGATCTAATGGCCCTTCTTGGTCTTAAAATCCATAAATATTTTAGTAGAGAAGTACAGTGTGCTGTGAAGTGACTGCTTTTTATGCTTCTGGATTCAGGTCAGTTGACCAAGTACACTCCTGAAGGCTACATATGCTGGACAAAGAATAAAGCACTCTTCTATCACCAAGCAACACAGTGTTCTTGGTGTCATATGATTTTTCTCTCCCATGAAACATTATACATTAATATCAGTCTGCACAGAGTTTTCTCAAAACAAGGTCCCAAATCACTTTTGGGACATAAACTAACAAAATAGACTGACATGGACAGTTTCAGGAGGCAGCTGAGATTTTCCACCAACAATCTGTTGTTTAAACAAAATTGAGCAGTTGCACATATTGACAGACAGTTACTAATTCAGGTTGCCTTTTAAGCTTTAACTGTTTGACAGCAAAGGACAATAACTTAGATTTAAAATTCACAAAATATTTCCAGAACCATTCCAGCTCCCCTGGATAAAAACGAAGCTATTCACCTCCACCTCGGGTAAGGTCCAATGCAGATGTGAGTTTTCACAAAATTTAAGTATATACTTATGCAAGTAAGCATAGATATCTCAGATATTGCCGAGAATAACAGATACACAGGGAGGAAATGGATTACCCCATACAGCTTGTTCATTGTTCGTGTCTGTACCCACTTTTTCCTGTGGTTCCATTAAGAACCATATAGAATGTTTGACTATAGTCTATTAGGAGCATCAAACTTCACTATAGCAATTGTCCTATGAAATCTCTGATGAGAAGTATCAAAATGACCAATCATCTCTGCATCTATATATGTATTGAGGAATACAGGACAGCAAAGCACAAAAGTAGCATGGTTATCTTGCATTTAAAGAAAGACACACTATAAACAGCAACAAAAATCTTTGCTGAAAACATTCTGTGTTACTTTCATTTACACAAACAAGTCCTGTGTACCTCAATACAGTTTAATCATATGATTCCCAGGAAATTTTTGTCCCTTTTTTAGGAACACGTATCATATATAAATGCAGATATAATAATATTTAGTCCACATATCCTTCTACACATACACCTACACTTTAGTAGTATTCATTCCTAAATATCCAATCATAACCTCTTTAAAATTATTACCATCTGCATGGTAAATGACATGTTTTCTCATGTTTTCTCATGTATTCTCAATTTAAAAATTACTGTCATTTTCATAAATTGGACACGTGTCTAATGAGAACATGTAATTGCTGAGGTAGAGATCTTTCCAGATCCAGTAGGAAATTCAAAAAATCCCTTAGTTCATCAAGACTGGGTACCTATGACTTTAAAAGTCCTTTAGAGGACTCTTCATATCATCTGTGATCAAATGACCACAATTCTCTCATAAGTACTTATATTCTAGAATTACTTTCTTGATATTAGTGGATGTCATTTTTTACGATAGCTGTGAACCACAAAAAAGGTGGATCAACTGGAGAAAGTACAGAGGAGTTTAACAAACGGGATCAGAAGTCTAGAAAGCATGTTCTACTGAAAGAAATGGGTTTGTTTAGTCTAAAAAAGAGAAGACTGAGGAAAGATATGATAACAGTCTTCAACTATGTAAAAGGTTGTTGTAATAAGCCTTCTTCATGCCCACAAGGGATAGGGCAAGAAGCAATGGGCTTAAATTAGAGCAAACATGACTTAAAGATCAAGAAAGGCATTGTACGGGACACTGGAAACTTAAGCTTTAAATTATTAAAGCTTACATACTTAAAAATTATGTTAAGTATATAAATGTAGCAAGACTAAATTTACTAATTAGCATGTACTGTAGCACAAAGAGATAACAGATCCATTGTGGAGGACCACAACATTTGTCCACATGGAGACTAGGGCAAAACCACCCAAGTGCTGACGTAGAACCATGGAACTCAATGAAACAGTCAGGTTCATTTCTTCTTCCATAATGGCCAAAAGCTGAAGATCTGTGCTGTACACTTACTTGATGACTAACTCTTACTTTTGCTTAAGAATATTTCAGTTTTCACTTTGTTGCTGACTTAGTTCAGTTCGAGTACAAGGACTGAATTTCAAAATTCTAAGAATAATTCTGATTTGGTCAGGGGAACTCAAAATGAAAAATAATGAAAAACACTCAATAAGGGAGCTGTTCTCCCTGCATCACAAGTAAATCGTTCTGATGGTAAGAGAAAAGCATTTCACCCTTTCTCCCTCCAGTGTTGCTTATTATTGACCTCTGGCTGTAACCACTCTCTTTTCTAAAAATCATTTCGATCAGTCTGGAAAAGCAGAAATACAAGTAACTATTAACTAATCACTGACATTCAAATCATTTCATCAATGCCTACCCCTCAGCCAATCTTTCACTTTTTTCTTTAAGGCGGGGAAAATTCTGAGCTGAATGCTGGAAGTCTTAACTCACCTCAGTAAGTTACCATGACTACCATGCAACAAAACAGGCAATAATCACACCTTGTGATATGAGGTAAAAACTGTTCCTCACTATGTTTACTTCAAAAAAGGAGTGACAGGAATTTTTGTGCCTATATATCAACCGGAGATTTAAAAAACTATAGAAAGCTAATTAAAGCATAACGCTTTACTACTTTTCTGTTTGGAAAGGAAGAAATCTGTTTTATTTTCTTCTCCAAAATAAGACTTAGATGCTGAACAGTACCTGTATTTTCAATAGAAACATACTTACTTCTTACTCAGTTTAGGAGATGTTGAACAAAGCAAAAAAGTATCCATTCCACAGAGTGACAGGCATTTAAATCAAGAATTATCTTGGTCACAGTAACTAATACTGTTTCTGTTAGATGCCCTTTGCCCCACTGGACACCTTGCACAGTATACTTTTACCGTGACAAGACCATGAATTAAACTGTTCTGTGTACAGTTCAAAGCCCTGCTTTGCTGACAGATAAAATTCTATTTCATCATTCATTTTCAATATTGGTTCTCAAAAGACATCTCACATCTTCAAGGAGCTGAGATTTGTACTGAACCGTCTTACTAATGGAGCACTAAATTAAGATTAATAAATCAATCAACGTGAATTAATCTTCATCTGACAGGGAATTCTCAGAAAAAATTGATTTGGATAAGAACGTAATCGCAGAAGAGAGAGATGCATAGCCTGAAAGAGTGGCCATCTTGATCCAGTATGGATTTTTAAGTTAGATTTCTCACTGCCTCCATGGTCAGACATACCTAAACCAAGGAGAACATAGAGAAGCTTTTCTCCCTCATTAATCTTGGACTAAATAACAACGTATTATATACCTGCTAGAAGCATTCACCAAGTACAGAGCTAAAAATATATGGGAGAGCACAGTAGCTGCTAATGAAAACCAATAAATGTCACTGTCCTGGGCTCAGGATGCAATCTCAAGTAGCTTCACACTCCTCAAGAGTAAAGAGTAAACATGATTCACCTGAAGAGTTTATTACCTTGAATACTCCTTTTGAAAAAAGCTTTGCATCCCTCACAAGACCAGACCCCATAATGGTAGCCTGAAGCGTAGTCGTTGCAGACAGCACAGTACCGGGTCTCCTTGGTGGACTCCATGGACAGGCTCCCTTTCTCGTTGGTACTGGACATCCTCTCCCGGATGCTGTGGCGCCTGTTATCAGAGCTTGGCCTGTTAATAGCAAAAAACAAGCATAATTCTTTCAGTGAGGTTAAGTCTCATCCACTCCTGCAGATTGTAAGAAAGAAGAGCAGATCTAGATTTGAAACAAGAAATGGACAAAAAAATAATCTTTTATCACCTTCTGTCCTGTTCTAGTTAGAAAGGTGTGGAACCAGTAAGATACAGAGGAATTTATCACAAATCAATCTGATGTTATTAGGCATTGTACCTTGAAAAATTAAAAAGCTATTTGATAAATTAATCAATTTTTCTCAAGACATTACAAAGGAATACAAAAAAATCAGCTTTTTTTTTTTTGTACCTGCTACTGTCCAAAGGGTTCAGAATGATTCAGTATCAGTAGGTAGTTTGAGAATCTGAGGCAAAAATCCCTTAGTGTTTGCATCTGAATTTGCAAGGCACTTAAATTATTAAGCAGGCTATTTTCAAGTGTTATTGCCCAATTAGAGGTGAAAACTTTCCTTACATTATCAAAGATATAATACTGCATAAAACAGTTCCTATTCTCATTACAATACCACTTTCATAAAAATTAAGAAGTGGTTTTAGCACGACAAGAAAAGTCAGAAGGTATTAAAAATTGTTGCTGAAGAATTTTTGTTCTAGTAATGTACATGTTACTGGACATGTGCTAGACATACTAGACATGCACATGACCCACACGTGCATGCTGCTGAATGAAGACCGAACAAATCTATAGTGTAAATGGCAATGAATTCACATCTAGTGAATCTGGTAAGAGGTTATTATGGGTAGCTGCTGCAGGCATGGCAAACAATATTCAAAAAGATGAGAGGATGTGAAATTACCAAGGGAACCAGCAATGAACTCTGGGATTGCTCCTGGAAGGCAAACAGCTCTTGCAAAACGTGCTTTCCAGTAAGAGTCTGCACTACAAATTGTCCGGGAGAAAAATACAATTGGGTGTGACAGCATCAGACAAGCTAAAGCATGAAGAATCTTACTGTTTAGAGTAATTATCCACTTACCATGCATGTTTTAATTGCTGATTAGTAAACAGGTGGCTCTTATCTCCCCAGAGTCCCAACATTTTCTCAAACAACCATATCCTGGTTTTGAGCGTAAGAGGCTGGGGGCTCTCTCTTTCAGATTTCTCCCTACATACCTAATTTTGCCTTATTCCCTTCTTCAGCGCAGAAAAACTTCCTCTCTTTTGATGAACCAAGGCATCTAGCACCAACAACACCTTCTTGCTCCAAACCAATACTCCCCAGCAGCTTTCTGGTTACTCTACGTATGCTCAACCATCCTCTTTCATCTAGCCAAAGTTCCCTGACATCTCCTGCTGCAGTCCATCTCAATGCCCAAAAGCTTTCTACCAGCCAAAGCCACCTGGACTCTCTCACATGTGCTGCCAGCCATGACCTCAAGACTTTTTGTATATAATTTCTGTCCCCGAATATGATATATTTTCATTGAACAGCTTTGAATGAATATCAGTTATTAGAGAAACATGAGGCCATGTTAGATGCTACTGGCATCATTCAGGAAAACTGCATTTTTTAAACCTGAAGTTCTTTAACAAGCCTTATATACCAGCTAATTTTGAAAACTTTTTTAAATAATTTTTGTTTCCTTGGGACTTGTGCAAGACAGAAGAAGCTGCGAATGGTGATGTGCTAACATAGCACAACTCTGGCTGTTTACTGAGATGGGAAAACTGGAGAGCGTCACAATTCTGACAACATGAGTTTAACAAAGTAGGCAGGGAAAAAAAAACCTTTCACATTTCAGATGTTAAAAAGTGAAAAGGTGAAAACAGTATCATTAATAAATCGTTATGGATACAACACATACATGGTTCATGTAGCTACCTTTTCCAACCCACCAGCTCTAGGTAGTTTTTTTATTCCTCTCCAGGTCCTGAATATTCCTTTGAATTTGCTTTATCTCAGTGCCTCATTTAATTGACTTCTTTTTTTTCTACTGAGCACTGATCAAAGCTGTTGTTTCTTATCTTCTCCACCCCATTCTCTCCTGCCTGCAGCTAGATCACCTAATCCATCCTCTCAGTATAACTTTAAATTAACCACAGTGTGACTTTTTTGAAAAATATACTTTTAGGTGTATATAACTACAAGAATGTTTTAAATATTTGAAGTAAATCAGCAAGCAAGCAAAAAACTGTCAATATAATTTTAACAGCAATAGACTAGTCTGTTAGCTGTACATGACCACCTGATAGATATTCACAATTTCAGATCTTTTTTCTTTTTTTACAACTGCTACAAATATGCATGTTATACAAGACAAGGTTCACAAAATTATTTTCGTATCAATAAGAAATAAAAATAAATTACAGTTTATAAAATTTTACCTTTTTAAAAAGGCACATTAAAAACAGTAAAAGGAAGAAAATGTCAGGTTCCAAAACAATTACATATTTTTGTAGGTGTGTAGTAATTTTCTGACACTGCACAAACACACACGAACTTACTAAAACAATCCTAGTTTCTTAGCTGGACACAAAAAACCCCACTTCAAGTAACAGGTAAAACCAAAACAGAGTAAAGAAATACCAAAAAGTATCAGTCATCATTCAGTCCAGATAATTTAAATTTTCATCTTTTCAGAATATTTCTCTTCACTCAGATCAACACTAGGCTCACAAATACATTTTTCTTAAAATTGTATTTAAGAATAATAAAAAATGACTGAAAAATAGCCTGAAACAACAACAAAAATGCTTTTTCTATCTAGAGAAGATAAGAATTCTCATGAAAAACGTACGCTGCAAAGAAAAAAAGGTGCTTAAACACTAACAAGGAAGGTGGTGTAGAGACAGACATATTTTGCCATGCTGCTTGCGGGGAGTCTGTCCCACAGGTTCTGTCCATCCTCAGTCACTGCAGGAGGGCCACTTTTACAGAGGGAGGCTGCAGGCAGAGGTAATGAGACAGCTCGCTCCCTGTAAGCACACACAGGATCCACGGCACAAGGGATCACAGACAGACAGGGGAGTAATGCCACCGTTCACACCTGCCCATAATGCCCCTGCATTTCATATTTGACTTAGACCTCCATTGCCTTCCTGCACACAAACTTGTTATATAGAAAGAGCTCTATAAATCTGTTAACGCAGACCTTCAAAAAGCAAAATGAATCCAAAGATGGCCTTGCTGGCTTCCCACCCTCATCCCCCTCCCAAAATCAGTGCCACTCAAGCACCACTTTGAGCAAGATTTTGTAAACTGGCCTTGCAGAGCTATCACATTCAGGCTCTTGTGAACCACAGTGGGAAGCACACTAAAATCCGCGTAGCCCCATCCTCCCCAGAAATAACATCCTGCCACTCCTTTCCATTTGTACAACAGAAATGAAAACTGGTAATAAATAAACTTTGGATTATCACAACTCTAGTACTTATTAGAGGAGATGGGGAAGAAATCTTTTTGGGAAAAGAGTATTCCAATAACACAGAGCTTGCTAAACCAAAATAACTTCTCAAATTTCATCCAGAAATCAGCTGCTAGTTAGTGCACATCACAGACCACTGATCCTGCGTCCTGTCAAAAAATAACAGTCTGTTTTTCATCCAGCTTTGTTAGGTTTCAAGGGTTAGCCTTCTGGAGAACATAGTGCAACAACCTAACCCAACTTTAATAACTTTGGCAAGATCATCATTCCCAAAATACAATAGCAGAACCTTTTCAACAATCGCCTTGGTAATCTATGTAGACAATAACAAAAAAAGACCAAAAGTTCTTGTCAACTATGTTTACCAAAGTGAAACACAAATCAAAAAGAAAGAAAACCCCAGATAAAGCCCTCCCTCCAAGGCCCCCACCAAAACAGAACAGCTTAGAAAGCAAAAAATCCTCAGGATTTTCTGCTCGTTTCCAAATGTAATAACACAGCAAACATAAAAAGGAAAGTGTTTTGGAACCTACAGAGCAGGACAAACTTGTCTTCCACACTCACTTTCATGTTTTTCCACCTATGTCATGCTGAGTCTGCTCTTCAAATAAATGTGTTAGCAAACAAGACACCTCTGCTTTCAACATTCACTTATCACCTGCAACTCTGAATCAGCCAAGTGATCATTAACCCCATGTTGACTGTAAGGTAAAAAGAATGTGTACCTGAGGGAATTACAGTTTTGTAATGTAAACTCAGTTCTTTACATCACAGTAATCTGACTGGCAGGCAGGATGAATTTAGGATAACCCACTGTACACAATCCACCCAACAGCAAGGTAAGGCCCAATTTATTCACAACCCCGGCTTTATCTGAAATAAAGAGATTTCATAGGTAGGAGGGCTTAAGGGAAAAGTTATTTAAGCAGTTAGAGACACCTTGAGAGATTCTAGTTTTCTGAGTTTACTTTCATACAAGACACTTTAATCTGCAGCTGCTAAATCTTTCTTAAAAGAATGGATGGAAGTTCTCAGTGTAAAAAGCCTCAAAACCAATGGCCATTTCAAATGCAGTCAAGGTCTAGCACGCATGCTTTTCCGCACATTGGACTTATAACACCATTCTACTATTCAATGTGAAATTAATTAAATTGCTGTTAGAATGTGAATTTCCATATGGGGCAAAATATTTATGAATGATTATTTGAACAGAATTAAGTGCTTGAAAATACTTAAAAGACAACTCAAGGAGAAGTACTGCAATAGGAATTACTAAGTATACAAATAAAGAGAAAATTGCCAAGTACATTAAGTGCCTCAAAACCGTACTCTCAGAAAGTAGCTCCAATGAATCTGAAAAAAAATCATATGCCAGCCAAATGAAAATGTTGGCTTAAAACTAATATCCCAAAATGCCCAGTGTTGTAATTAAGCTAAATACAACTTGACAATGGAGAGAGAAAGTCTTACACAGAGTTGTATATCAAACAGACAGAATCACAGGGTATTTTAGGCTAGGCGGGACCTCGGGAGGTGGCCCCATGCCGAGCCATCATTGGCACAACATGGGCTACAGCAATGAGGGTGGGTTCCAGCAACGGGACCGGAAG